ATATANACTAGACACTACACTACTACTACTAACTACTATACTATACTATATAATATATATATATATATATATATATATATATATATATATATATATATATATATATGTGTGTGTGTGTGTGTGTGTGTGTGTGTGTGTGTGTGTGTGCGTATATATATATATATGTAAATAATTAATTACATACAAAAGCTCCAGGAATAAACTTGAAGTACATCTGAGTCCTGCCAAATCGCTTACCGTATCATTGGCCAGGGCACCCATAGTCACAATGTCTTTGAATTCGGTCCAATTGCAGAATTCCTGGTTACCTGTACCACATATGTCGATGGGAAGTACAACCGCGTTTGGGCCTACGGTTGAATTTTCGAAGGTGGCTGTGGCCGTGGGTGTTGCAGTGCCTTCAGGCGATCGCAGAACTACCCGGACATTGAAACCGCTGTCATCGAGATTGCTGCATGGAAGAGGTGTGTTCATAAATATAGTTCACGAGTGAGAATGTACTGTATGACTCTGTATTCGTATGGTCTAACCGGGATCGGTTGCGAGCCTGACAAAAGCGCCTCTAGACGAAGATTTAACCCTACTAATGATGCAGTCTGATAGCACAACTCTACAGAACTAAAAATTTTGGCTCGTAGTTGTGTATGGCGTCCCCGCCTCGCGGTTGTAGCGACAAATCAACTGCAACTCATCAACCACCAGGTGTCGGTAAATGTCACACCTAATGCGTGTTCTAACGTAAGTGCACATTGGGCAGAGAGAATTATGAAGCAAACAGAATCATACTTCCATTGGACCTGCAAACTGTGTGCAGCATAACAGATCGTCAGCTCAGAGTCTCTCAACGTGTACCATGTGCGCAATTCATATGATATACATTTCGTCGATAACGAGCCAGACAGCACACCCCACAAGGACAGACATATCGACCGCTAGTACCCATCCCTTAACAGCTGACTGCAATCACGGTCGTGACGTTGATATGTAATACGCCAATCAGCACCTGGACACAATCCTCATTGCATACCGATATAGCTCGAAGGCAAGTACAGTGCCAGGCGATGGGATGGTCGTCAAGGTTTTAGTCTCAGCGTGTAGATAGTCCAGCAACGGGATTATCACCGAATAGTGTGCTGAGTAGTATTGTACCTGCAGTTGTGATAGACACATAATCAGATGCAGCAAATAAGGCACTGAAGATCCCAAAACATCGGGCAGATGATCAGTTCCCCTGCGAGTCCTCCATAATGGATGCGGCCAATTATCAATAACATGTAATGCATAGTACAAGTAAAAGCCTTCACAGAACTTAATAGATCGTGATCGCTTTGCCGAACGTGGATATCTAACTGTGACCCAATTTCAATCTTGTGTGACTATATAAGTTTCAAGTAGAACAGCCTGAAACTCACATCATGTGAAAAGCTGGTACACGCCGCAAGTTTTCATAAACATATGCAGAATGCTCGCAGGTCCTTCGCGTCCAAAACTGCGCTGCTGAAGGATTGACAACATCATACCACCCCACCAAAACAAGAATATGTAGAGATGCACTCTACACCTGATTTAACTTGGGTGTACATAAAGAGACAGCTTCTCACGCACAAGTGTGTAGGTGCATCTATACCCTTTGATACGCTTGCACATACTATACGCGCCATAGGAGAGTGTTTTCATTATCAACAACGCACCTTTATATACTCATCAACGGGTTGTGGCTTTCCTCCCGCATATTTCACCACATCATCAAATTGTTGCCAAATTTCATACATGATTCTTCCTGAGCTGGCTGTGATGGCTTCGTCTGAGCTATACCGTTCGTACTCCAGCCAAAAGGCTAGCTGTTCTATATCAATATATGTAGGGTTCGTTGTGCTGATGTTGCTCGAATGTAAAATATCATATCTGAGGGAAAAGACAGCAAGGACGTGTTTGTACAATGTACGTAATAAACTTTACATATGGCTGAACGAATGTGAATTCTGGAGTAGGCCACAACTTCGCACCGCTCAATGGCGTGCGATTTCATTTCCTTTGATCTAATTAGCTTGATAACAAGAAACGAACACACTCTAAATCATGACGCAGGTACTTGTTCCGCCGATCGACACACAAAAGAGCTGAAAGTGAAATTTGAGTCATAGTGTCTAACAAATGTCTATAGTCGGCTTTGTGAGGTTCGATATACAGAGCCAGGTGTGCTAGGCCGACACAGATGAGTGTATTTTCTCACTAAAATTTTCATATACACGTCATGGGCAACACTCGCACGATGCGTACGACGTGGGACCCATGCATATACTACGATTACAGGCGACAGATAAATAGCAGCGTTGGCCATGAGGATGGAGACATGAAACATACTTGCTTTGAACATTTAGGTATAGGTAGCGTCTGTGTGATAACAAATATACAGAACAAACATCATGCACGTATCAGAAATTCCAGCTTGATGATATAGTAAGTATCGGAACACTACGTACGACACGCCGACGCTACCAGCTGACAAGCAATAATAGAGTTTCACCCAATAATTGTTCAATATACAGGTCCAAACTTACACATTGTACACATCTTGGAGTGTCGCTAAGACCTGTTCCGCATCGTCACTGACCTCCACAGCCATCGCCTGCGCCGCCTGACGCAAGGCTTCAGTGCTCTCCTCTTTACTCGTGAACTCGTCGCTGACATAGAACTCATCCAGCTATGAATTGTCCATGATCATACTAGTTAGAGAATGTGAGGCTGCTTGGCTACGTGTATCTGTCCATGTCGACCCGTGGGCAGGGCATTCTGTATTGTAACTGTTTATCTGAACACATCGGGATAGTATGTGCCAGCTCTCTGCTAGACATGTACGTCATATCTACCACTTTTAGGAACAAATTTCAATACCAAAACCACATGCACTCAACGAGAAGTACTGTCGTGTTTGCGCCTGAAAAAAGAACATACTGAACGTTAAGCCTGCATGTTTGTGCAGAAACTATTCTTAGAACTCTATCACTCACAGTCATTCCCATACAAACCTTTTGTTGATATTTGGGACAACTGAAGTGTCCTCTGAGAATCATGTCTGTGTCCACAGACGTTGCATGAATTGGTACAAATGTTGCGCCGTTGAGTAAACCATCGAGAAAATAGTGTGCGCTTTCCAGTGTGCGATCGGTATCACTCGAACGCACAGAAATCTGTTGTGTAAGGGTCGCAGAGTGACAATAGAGATGTGGGTGAGAAGTGCCATAATTTGTTTTGGGGTCTGTGACAGCACGCACATAGTACAATCAAGACTACCAAGAGTACAATTCTAAAGACGTACATCAAAATAAAATGGCAGGATATGAATTATTAAAGGAGAGATATACTATCGGGTGCTCTCGAAATATAGATGAAAGAAATGGGCGACCCACGGAATGCACAGTCGCACGTATGTAAGAAGAACAACCACGCATGGCGAGGAATGTGAAACGCACTTGAGAAGGAGACAACAAATAAGGACTGCAATTTGATCATCGTCCCATCAGGATCGCTGTCTGTAGCATTGCAAGCAGAGTGGCTTATATGCTTAAATGATTACATGTGATATACTTGCCTGTTTAGTCTTATATTACCTACATTTGTGACAAAGAAAGCTGCGTAGCTACTAATCGATCCCGAGATATACAGAAACGGGATAGAAAGGCTCTGCAATGCATCTGTAGTATTCGATTGGTATGCAAGGTTCTTGCCACTACATGGATCGAAATACTTCGGAGATTGTATCCCAATTTGTCAACACCCTGATCACATCCACTTCAACTCATTATAATATAATTAAACATGTATACCGCAAAAATTGGTTATTTCAACAGCAAGACTCGACGTTGAATCCTTACCGCCCCAGTCCCAGGATCAAGTGTCTCATTAGTTACTCCCACAATGGGCGTACTCGCATCATCCGATAAATAGGCTGTGCGCGCGTACTGTCCAGCTTCAAGTAATTCTGCACGACCCTCGCTCGTCTGCAAATAGCAGATATTAATGTTTAGCGACTGAACTCTAAATTAGGTTAAAGAAGAGCCTACAATGAAGCAAAACTTTACCTGCGCTAAACATAATTTTTATGCTTTCCACTGCGTCTAAGGGCAAATAATGTATATATATATATACGTATATACTTATATTCAATTTATATATATATTCAATTTATATAT